CAGATGAAGTCACTTGTGAGAGTAAGTTGTTGGTTGGGGACAGACATATAGAAGTGTCTATGATTATACAATAAGCATCTCTACATGTCCAGCGACAGTGTCTTCACCCCTGGTATGTAAACCCAAGAGTCCTAAAGATAGCAGTGCCTGTCGTGCACCTCTCAGAGCAGCAGCCCTGTTTCCAACCTGGTAGCCTCCATCAAAGGGAGAAAGGGGAGTAGGCTCCTTGGAGAGAAGAGACTCAGTATTCCCTCTCCCACCCCACCTGGTGCCCACCAACTGGGCAGAAGGGGTAAGCCAGCCAGCCTAGCTGAAACAAGGAAATTTCCACAGCTGTCCTGTTTTCTGGGCTTTCCTTTGAAGTTCCTTCTTTTCTCTCCACTCCTTCCTCCCTTTTAACTTCCTTTTCTGTGTTCTCTGTCCCCATTAAGAAGTAAGATCCTTGGGGCCAGAGTTTCTCTTTCTGTTTCTAATTGTATTCTCAGGGCTTAAAAGCAAATTGCCTGATACATAGTAAATACTCAATAAATACTTGACTGATTTCAGCCTATGGAGAAAAATGTTCCAATGACTCTTTGGGGTGGGGGTAGAGAGGGTAAAAATTTGGTATCCCCAGTCTTTCCCATATACAAAAAAATATAAAAACACTCTTGTTAAGAAATAAGTGGTCACGCAAACAAGAATGGATAGAGGGTCTGTATCTGATGACATATTTCCCTTTCTGTGGCTTGTGTCTATTGCCTGCCTGGAGGTTATTTTTTTTTTGTCTCTATCATTTGCCCTCTGTCATTAGGTAAAGTCCTTGAGAGGAGGGATGGTCTTATTTTGTGTCTTTGAATTCTCAAAAGAGAGTGCAGTGCCTTGGCTATTATTGGTATCTAATAAATGTTTATGGAGCTGTTTGAGCTGCTGGCGTGAAGTCCAGGGAGAGACAGTGGAAGGCAATTGTAAAGAAGGGGAGTAGAGACACAAAGGAAAATTTGGGGAGTCACAGCATAGCGATGATTGATGCCCAGAAATGAGCCCCAAACCACCTTATCCAAGGCCAGAGGAGACTCAGGCTCCATCACAGGGTGAGGCATGATGGGGCACCCTCTGAGAGGAGAAGTCAGACTGGTAAACATGATACAATTTTAAAAATGAACCCAGGGAGCTGAGAAGTAGCTTTCAAAACAATATTTAGCAGTGATGTCATAATCTACAACTGTTGATGCTTTCAGTCTGAAGACTTCCTGAAGGCAACAAGTGTTTGGCCCTCAGAGTGGGGGCTCCATGAAGGCAGATCCTTTGCCTCTCCTCTTACCCTGAAGGACCACATAGGGTAGGCACTATGTTTCCCCATTAGAACAGGGACTTCCTGAGGACAGGACTATCTCTTTCACTTGACTGGGGACTAACCCCATGAAGGTGGATCTCTGTGATCAGAAATAATAATAACTCATACAGCATTTAAAGTTTGCAAAGTACTTTATATATGTCAACTCATTTCAGCAATATAACCCTGTGAGGCCATTGCAATTATTATCCACATTTTACAGATAAGGAAACAGAGACAGAGAGGCAAGGGAATTGCTATGGATTGTCTAAGGCAGGTTTGAGCTCAGATCTTCCAGACTCCAGGCAGAGTATTCTTTTCTGTTCCATCTAACATGTATTTAATTCAACTAACAGTTACAAATGCCAGCTGTGCCATGGCACAGTGAGTCCCCACTTTGTAGCTCTCCAACACCACCCAAAAGTGATGACAGGCAAGGGTTTCCTGCTTTCACCACAGGCTCCATTTGACTTCCACTTTTACCCCTTCCAGACAGAGGCAGGTTCTGCCTGGTGACAGATATCCTCTCTGACAGTGATAAGAGGGCAGAGTCTTGACAGAGCCAAAATCAAAGCAAGAAAGACCTTGGGGCTTGTTTTCCTACATAGGAACCATTAGGCAGAGGGAGTTTGTGGACTAGTAGTTCTCCTAAGTGGGGTGATCCTGAGGCCTCTCACAGATACGTACAGAGCAGCATGATGAACTGGAGAAAGCAAAGAGGGTCATTCTCATTCTGGCTACTTATTGTGGTGCTGTTTGCGCTGCGGGAGATCCAGACAGGTGAGTCTGGGCAAGTTGTGGGAGGGGAATGTAGAGTTCTGGGTTTGACTTGACTGGGAAGTTTGGTCTGATGTGAGAGACACAAATAATGACCTCATGACCTGGCCTTTTGTGAGGGAAACACTGTCTGTTGTCAGACCTCTGAGAACTACCCGTCTGATAGAGGAGACATTGATTATGACCTCAAGGAACTCCTAGTCTGATGGGGAGACTTGATAAAGACAGAGGAAATATGCAGGAGCAGAGAAGGAAGGATACAACTTGGAGCAACTGGACAGAACTCTTACCTTGTTTCCTGGAGATAAAATTCAAGTGACTCCAACCAATCTGAGTCAATCAGAGAAATGTCTTCAGAGAAAGGAAAATTTTACCTAAGACAGAGGTTGTGCCTTTCAAGGAAACTTTCTGGCTTTTGTCTATTTCTCAGCAAGAATCAACAAGGATCAATGAAGGACAGTGGCTGCATCAATCAGGGCAGTGTAAATAATGGAGAAATGGGAGTTCTACAGTTTTCTTTAATGTGCTTAAATTTCAAAGATCTCCTGAGATGGGCTTGGCTCATGCCTAGGGGAGAAAGGCAGGATGGGAGCTGTCCAGGCTGTCATATCTGAAGAAGGGAGGAGGAAGGACCAAGACAGCCCCTGTGAGAGCCTGACCAAAGAGATGGGGAGGAGGGAATGAGGCTATACCAATGTACCCACTTGAGGGTTGGGTCTACGGTGATAAATGCCATGGGTTGTTATCTTATAACATTGTCTCTGTATACACAAGTATATTTCTTTTTAAATTGATATATGTCCTTTATGAAAGCCAGTAGGGAATAATGAATAGGGAGCTGGCCTATGAGTCAGGAAGCCCTGGCCTTCAGTGCCACCTCTGATACATATTAGCTGTGTGACTGTGGGCAAGTCATTGAACCTCCCAGTGTCCCAGGGAACTCCCTCACCATAAGGTGCAGAGCAAGTGCATTAGGAGCCATTTTACAGGTAATTTCTACGCTGATGAATCCATAGGTGTGGCTGTTTTTTTTAAAGCTTCATTTATCTTGGTCCAACATTGTATTGCATAAATCACTACTTTTTGACACAAAAATATCTCCAATGCTTAACCAGGGCAGACTGAAGCAGGAATATGATTCATTGGGGTCTCAGATAAGCCAGGGTTCTAGAAGCTGGAGTTGGGCAGATTTTTGTTGAGATCCATGAATCCTAGAGAAAGGGACTCCTAGTACCACAAGCTAATTCCTGTTGGGGCTGCTAGCACCTCCATTCGCCAAGGCTAGTCCCTGATTATTAGAAAGGAGATATTCTTTAACAGGCAGTGAGATATGAAGGGCATTCCCATCTATCTCAGAAATGTGGTCTATTAATTAATGTGGATTTATTTCCCTTGGTGATTCCATCAGCTCACATTGATTCCTTGAAAATCTCTATGCTGATCATTCTCAGAACTACTTATCAACCTCTTACCTTTTTCTCAACCTCTATTAACTCATCTCCAAAAATCTTTTAGACATCTCCAACTGGATGTCCAGAAGGCTTTTTAAACTCAACATGTCCAAAGCGGAACTCATTATCTTTCTCCTCAAAGCCTTCCCTTTCCAAACATCCATACCACTGTCTATGGCACCAGCAACTGACCAGTCAGGCTTACAACCTAAGCACCATCTTCAACAGCTAACTCTCTCTCACTTCTCAGGACTATTGTCCAGTCCTGTCAATTTTACTTCTAGAATATTTCTTGTATATGCCCCCTTCTCTCCTCTGACACTACCACTCCACTGATGTAGGCCCTCATCATTTCACACCTCGACTATTGTAATAATTGTCTTGTTTTTCCTGCTTCAAGTGTCTCCTGATTCTAGTTCATCCTTTCCACTCAGCTGCCATATTAATCTTCCTAAAGCACCAATCTGACCATGTCACTCTCTTAGTCAATAAACTCTAGTGGCTCCTTGTCACCTTGAGGATCAAATATAATATCCTCTGAGTCCTTTAATTCAGAGCCCTTTATAACATGGCCACTTCATAGTGATCCTTGATTTGTATTCAGTCCTGTAACAGGTCCTGATCTGAAGGTTGGCTGTCTGCATATTTTTTTTTCTGGAATGCCATTCTGGAAAGAATTATAAATGTGCAACAGTGATTACCCCAGCCCCACTTCCTGAAAGTCAGGTGTGTTATATTCCACCTAGTACCCTTAAGTGTTTTAGTTGTTGTGAGGCTGTATGCTATTGGCTCCAACCTCCACCAATAATGTTCCCCCAATTGTAGGAGGGTAATTTCTGCAACCCAGTTTCATTTAACCACCTAACAGTGAGATTAGCTTTTACAAAGGAATATTTGCTTCCAAGGCATAACAAATAGACAAACATACTCCTCAACATGGGGGAGCATAATTCTCCCTTGTACTGCCTCATACTCCAGGTTGGGGAAGGGGATTAAATTCAGAGTTTAACTCAATTCCTATACAGTATATTCCCAAGTTGCAAATCCAAAGATGCCCTTGGACTATAGTTGCAAGTACCCTGGCTTTTCAGAGCTTCCATTCTGGGACTGGTTGGCTGTAATCCAACCTGGAATCTTGCCTCTAAGGTCATCATGGCTTGGTTCAGAGTCTAGTAGGTGACAATTCTACCTCTATATTATTTATTATTTTATTTTCCCCCAGTTACATGTAAAACAATTTTCAACATTTGTTTTCAAAAGTTTGAATCCCACATTCTCTCCTTTCCTCCCTTTGCACCACTCTTCATTGAGAAGACAACCAATTTGATATAGGTTTTACATGTGCAGTCATGCAAAACATTTCTGTAATAGTCACATTATGAAAGAAAATATAGACCAAAAAATTTAAAAAAATTAATGTAAAAATTATGCTTCAGTTTGTATTCAGACACCATCAGTTCTTTTTCTGGTGAAGGATAGCATTTTTCATTATAAGTCCTTCAGAGTTGTCTTGGATCTCTTTATTGCTGAAAATAGTGCAATCATAGTACTTTATAGACAGTGCATTTCACTTTGCATCAGTTCATGTAAGTCCAGGCTTTTCTGAGAGCAATTAGATAATCCATTTCTTATAGCACAATGGTGTTCCATCACAATCACATACCACAATTTGTTCAGTCATTTCCTAATTGATGCGCATCCCCTCAATTTCCAATGATTTGCCACCAGAACACAGATGCTATGAATATTTTTGTGCACATACATCATTCTCCTTTTTGTTTCTTATCTCTTTTGGGATACAGATCTAGTAGTAGTCAAAGGGCATGCATGGTTTTTATAGCCATTTGGGCATAGTTTTAAATAGCTCTATAGAATGGTTGAATCAGTTCACAACTCTGTCAACAATGCATTAATGTCTCATTTTTCCCAAATTCCCTCCAACATTTGTCATTTTCCTTTTCTGTCCTATTAGCCAATCTAATAGGTAAGAGGTAGTACCTCAGAATTGTTTTAATTTGTGTTCTTGCAATCAATAGTGAAATTCTACCTCTTGTAACTGAATCAGAGAGGACCAGAAAAAGTAGAAACTCTAAGACCATTTTTCAGGGCCATCGGGCCTACAAGGAGAGAGGAGGGCTCCCCCCTTCATCAGTTTCATTCATTGTGACCATACCGCGAGTGAACCTTCACAAACTCTGGGTGCTAAGCAGCAAAACGTTTGCAGCAAGGAGAGCAAGTGTATCCCAGTCTGTCAGTTTGAACAACACAAACTATTGTAGCTGCACATTCCATCAAAGGAAGCTTCTCTCATTCATGTGATATGGAAGTACAGAACATCTCCAAGACAAAGGGTACCTCCTTCATGTGATCTGAGCCTGCTCCAAACCCTGACTACATATATAAATGATGAAACGTAGTAGTGGAAGATGGATGGGTATGAGGAGATTCTAAGCTTCTGAGGCCCCTTCATATCTGCCCTTCATTTCTCTTTTTCCCATCTTGCCATTCAGCTCACCACAAACATGAGGCGAAACATACTGCAGTGGGCACATCCCGAACTCTTTTGGACCTCCTTAGTGTTGGCCTCATTGATGACATTCAGTGGGCTTCCTACTACAAATCAAACCATCAGATTACTGTGAAGGCAGCCTGGATTGCTGAGGCTGTGGGAGCAAACTTAATTGAGGAGATAAGACATTTGATGCAGAACCACGAGGGAGATTTCCAGTTTGTTATCAATTACATGACAAGAAATGACACCAATACTGAGAGTAAGTTATGCCTTGCCAGACATGCCTTGCCCCCATCCTTCCCCTCACCCTAACTCATCTTCTGTCAACTAAGCCTGCTGGACCAATCCCCAGTAACCTGGATCATTAGAATGCCAACATAGGGGGCAGCTAGGTGGTGCAGTGGACAGAGCTTCACTGAGTCAGGAGGACCTGAGTTCAAATCTGACCTCAGACACTTGACACTTACTAGCTGTGTGGCCCTGGGCAAGTCACTTAACCCCAATTGTCTCACCAAAAAGCAAAAAAAAAAAGAATGCCAAACCAGGGGCTTAGTCCAATGTTACTTCATTCTGTAGGGAACCAGCTGTGAAGGATCTAGTTCTAAATCACATCAGCTTCCCAAGACACCAAATCCTCCATTGAAATCAGTTCAGAGAGCGTTCTCCTTCTACTTCAGAGTTTTCACATTTTATTTCATCCCAACTTTCTTTAATCATTTCGTGTGAACTCAAGATATTGAACTTCTTAACCTTCCTTGGTCCCTGAATTCAGTGATCGGTCCCACTTGATTCCTTTGCTCACTGATTTCTTTCTATCTTTCTTCTTCTCCTTCTCTTTCTCCTCCTCTCCCTCCTCTTTCTCCTCCTCCTTCTCCTCCTTTTCCTCCTCCTCCTCCTCTTCTTCTTCTTTTTCTTTTTCTTCTTCTTCCTCTTCTTGTTTTCTTCCTCCTTCTCCTTGTCCTCATTCTCTTCTTCCTTCTCTTCCCTTTACTCCTATTTCTGCTCCTTCTCTTCCTCATCCTATTTTTTCATGTTCCCTCCCTCTTCTTGGTACCTGCTCCTAATTTGTACTTTCCTTTTATTTTATTCCTCATTATTACTGATTCTAAATCACAGAAATGTGCTTATTCTATAGTCTATATATAAAAGAGAAGACTACGTATGGATTCAGAAAGAATGCAGTAGGACAAGATAAATAGAAATCAATAAAAAGGCTGAATTATTCTTGACTCCTAATCTTCTCTGTCCTTTGACAGCTCCCCTTCGTATCTTTGCTTGGATTCTTCCTAGGCTTGGAGAATCAGGTTCCCTTTTAGAGAGCAGGATATTTATACCTCACATACAAGTTACCTCTAAAGTTCACAAAACAAATACTCTTTTCTTCCAGGATCCACAACACAGTTTCCCTCCATCGATTTCTCCATACTCAATTTTCTCTCAGAGTATCCCATGTTTTTCCTCCCCCCAGGGAATCACACACTGCAGATTCATTGCAATTGTGAATTAGATGGCGATATCCAGTTGGGCAGCCTTATAAAGTATGGCTTGGATGGAGAAGATTTGATCCAGATAGACATGCTAGAAGGACAATGGGTGGTTCTGAATCCTAGTGCTCATATCTTCAAATCAATTTTGGAAAGTGCTTTCTGGACTGAATTGAGAAAACATCACAATCAGAGATACTGTGTTGGAGCCATGCAGAAAATCCTTCAGAATTCAAGCATGAAAGAGAATTGTGAGTACATTTCCCCCCATCCTTTACCAAATCATCTCTTCCATCTTTGTAGCTGGAGCATTGGAATTAGGAGGTAGAAGACCTGGGATGCAGCTCTCTCTAACAGTACAAAAATACACATAAGAGAAATGTGAGGAATTGTCTTTATTCATTTATTCAGATGATGGAAGTTTTATTCTGATGCCTCAGTATGGTATGGAGCTCACTGTAGATCCTTTAAGGCAGTGTCCCCCCTACAATTCTTTTGAGTATAGGGATTACTTTTTTATTTTAATTTTGTGAACTTCTATATTCCAAAGACTGAAGTTGTGCTATTAGAAGACTCTGATTGGAAAAAAATATTCAAATGCATCTGTGGTCCTCTCCATGTGGATTTCACCTCCAATGATGCAGATCATACTTCCTCCATCATTGTCATTCTGAGTAATTCTTGTCTCTGTCCTTCCATAAAATTGTGATAGAAGGTCTGCCCCACATGCTGTGGTCCTTCCTTGATTCCACTTTTTAAGATTAATGTTTGATTTGTTAATTAACATAAATATATTTTCAGAGTACTGAAAGGTTTTGATCTCAGGGAGAAATATAACATCTGTTTTACTTAGCTTTCTCTCCTTTTTTAAATAGAGTTTTATTTTTAAATGAAAATAAATACATTTCTTTCTCCCCATCTCTTGCCAAGGTAGGAAAAAAGAAAAAACAAATTCCCTGTAGCAAATACACATAGTCAAGCAAAACAAATTCTCTCATTAGCTGTGTTTTAAAAATAGTCTCATCTGCAACCTGAATCTATTTTTTATCAGTCAGAATGTGGGTAACATGCTCTATCATCAGTCCTGTGGAGTCTTGGATTGTTATAGAGTTGATTATAGTTCTTATAGATTTCAAAGTTGTTTGTCTGAACTGTATTGTCGCTGTTGTATAAACTATTCTGTCACTTCTACTCATTTCATTCTTTCAGCATTTGTAAGTCTTCATTTTTAAAGTATTCATTCAAAGGAGTTTATTTTTATATAAGTGATGCTACACTGTAAAGTGTTCTTGTGGTTTTACTTTATTTTTAATCAATTCCTACAAGTGTTTCTGTTTTTCTGAAATCATGGATTTCCTCATTTATTTCTGCACAATAATATTCCATCAATTCATGTGCAATAATTTGTTCAGGCACTGCCCAACTGATGGGTATCCCTTTAGTTCCCACCTTTTTGCCTACAAAAAGAGCTCCTCTAAGTGTTTTTGTACATATCAGACCCCTTTCCTGTTTCTTTGTTCTCTTTAGATGCAGAGCTGGTTATAATTATGTCAAAGGGTATGCCCTCTTTAATTGTACTTAATTCCAATTTTCTTTCCAGAATAGTTGTACTCATCTATAGCTGCACCAACTTTTTCATCGCAGCCCCTTCAACATTTGCTATTTTTTTGTCATGTTTACCAATCTGATGGGCGAGGTAGAATCTCAGAATTGTTGCAATTTGCCTTTCTCATTATTAAATTTTTTGACATTTTCTTTATGTGGCTGTAGATAATCTTTATTCCTTTGAGAACTGCCTTTGATCATTTATCAAATGGGAACTGGCTCTTATTGTGTACATTTGAGTCAGTTCCTTTCATGTCTTGGAAATGAGACCTCTAAGAGAAATTTGTTGCATTTTCATTTTTTGCTTTCTCTCAACATTGAGGGGATACAAATGGAGCACTCTGACCAGTCACCTATTACTTCTACCACTTTCCTTGGACCAGACCATCATTTTCCCCACTTATATATTTTCCTGATGTTATTCTTTGTTTCCATTGCTCTTTGAAGCATCATATCAAAATGCTCCTATGAAGTCATTAGGGTTTTTTTCTTTTCTTTTTTTTAGGCAATTGGGGTTAAGTGACTTGCCCAGGGTCACAGAGCTATTAAGTGTCAAGTATTTGGTCTGAGGTCAGATTTGAACTCAGGTCCTCCTGACTTCAGGGTTGATGTTCTATCCACTGTGCCACCTAGATGCCCCCTCATTAGTGCTTTTGAATGGATTTTTAAATTTTGTGACAACAACCAGTACATCTATTTGAAAAGTTGTACATATTTGTGAGACATTGTTTATTGTGTCTACTGAAAATATCTGCAGTGGAAAGAATATAGCAGTGAATTCCAGATCCATTGTCCAATTTCTCTGGTCCTTAGGTTCCTCATCTATAAAATGTGAATCTTAAGTCCCTTTCTGTTTTACATATCTCATCAATTTAGTCCAATCTTCTCATTTTACAGCTGAGGAAATTATGCTGCAGAGATGTTAAGGGACTTGCTTAAACTCACAAGAGAAGTAAAGACCAGATCCAGGATTTCTCATGAACTCCCAGTTGAGCCCTTCCCCTGCATCGTGTGGTCTCATGGTGCTATGACCTGAGTCACTGTAGCAAATCATGTGATAGAATAAATCCCTTGGAGAAGGTTTCTTGGTGTCTTTGTCCCATAGGAGGGGAACTGGTGATACAATATGACAGCAGAGAAGCTTAAGTTCTGACTTGTTCTACCCAGCAGGGGAAGCTTGAAACACAGACCTGGGGACATACCTCAGGTGTGTTGGGAATGACCCAGCCTAGGTAGGCTCTGATAGAATCATTATTGGGTTACTGTGAGGAATTCTTTGGGTCCCAGAATATTGTGAAGGCGATATTGTGTCTAAGATTCAATGGAGAGTCTAAGATTATGGCTGCTAGATTGGGCACCTAGGTGGTGCCATGGATAGACCACTAGACCTGGAGTCAGGAAGAGTTTGCATCCATTCTCAGAGACTTACAAGCCACATGACTCAGGGCAAATCATGTGACCTTGATTTGTCTTATTTTCCTCATCTGTTAAATGGGAATAATAATAGTACCTACCTTTCAGGGTTGTTGTGAGGCTCAGTGAAATAATATTTGTAAAATGCTTAGCACTGTGCCTGGCACGTAGAAAGTGCAATATAAATTTTACCTATTATTATTAATATATAACCTCAGTTATATAATAGAAGTATTGAAATATAAAAGAAGATTGTGATCTGAGATTCTCATAACATTAGCTACTTATCCCCACTTGCAGCTGGTTTACATGTCTCCTGCTTGTATAGAAATAAAGAATCATAGAATTTCCAAGTTGATAAGAATGTTATTTGTATGTGAAAAAGCCTGTCTTCTAAAATATGCCCAATACACATTCCTTTGCCAACCCTGAGGTGATAAGATGTGTTAGGTATGGAATGAGACATGTGTGTATATATGTGTGTATTGTGTTTGTATGTGCGTATATATATATGTATATGAGTGTGTATGTATGTATGTATGTATATATATATGTATGTATGTTTGTGTGTGTGTGTGTGTATGTGTATATATATATTTGTATATAGCCACTGAGGGGATTTTTTTTTCCTGACTATATATGTTTGCTACAAGAAATGTGTTTTTCTTTTCTAATAGGACATAAGGGGAAGAGATATTAAATAGATTTCTGTTCATTCAAAAAAGACAGTTGGCAGTGCTGCAGGTGTGAATTCTTGCAGGCATTCATAGATGAGGTGACTTGTTTTACTGAACTGTTTTGTTTGGTTATAAAAGACCTCTCTCAGACTAGGAGTAACCTTTAAATGCTTATTATATAAAAACAAAGTATATAATAAAACATTAAAATATAGATATGCATGTAAAAATAAAATAAACAGAAGTTAAACTTTCAAAAACAGTAATATAACATCTGTAGTTTTAAGACAACAAAGAAGTAAAGTTGCTGCTTATCATTATGGTTACATAATATGATAAAATAAATTATCCTGATATAGTTACACACTTTGCTTTATTAATATGATATGGAAATGTTAGAGAATAAAGTGCTAATGTCAAACAGACAATAAACCTGATAAGTGATTGTCCCCTCTTTTTCTGAGGACTTTAATGAGGGGAAACTCCCTCCTTCCCCAGGCATTCCATTCGAGGTTCAGCTTCATAAACAATCAAAATGACAACATAACATAACATAACATAACATAACATAACATAACATAACATAACACACAATAACATAACATGACATACAATGACATAAGTCAAAGTGGG